ATGGGTAATATTACAGTATGTGATAATTACGCATAGCAAACTCCACAGGTAGCAAATCTAATTCGCGGCAATATAACGCGAGACAACACAACCTGTGGCTATATAAGGCGAGACGATATAGTGCATAGAGAATTTGACACATGGCGATACAGTAGATTGAAAACTTAACGTATATCGAAATAATGCATTAAATATTTATCGCGTGGCAATATAACGGCGATATAGCAAGTAGGGTGATATAATGCGTAGAAAATCTAATGGGTGATATTACAGTATGTGATAATTACGCATAACAAACTCAACGGGTAGCAAATCTAATTCGCGGCAATATAACGCGAGACAACACAATCTGTGGCTATATAAGGCGAGACGATATAGTGCATAGAGAATTTGACACATGGCGATACAGTAGATTGAAAACTTAACGTATATCGAAATAATGCATTAAATATTTATCCCGTGGCAATATAACGGCGATATAACGAGTAGGATGGTATAACGTTTAGAGAATCTAATGGGTGATATTACAGTATGTGATAATTACGCATAACAAACTCTACTGGTAGCAAATTTAATTCACGGCAATATAACGCGAGACAACACAATCCGTGGCTATATAACGCGTGACAATACAATGCATAGAAAATTTGGCACATAGTGACACAGTACATTGACAATCTAATATGTAGCGAAAGAGTGCATAAAATTTCTATCGCGTGGCGACATAACGGCGATATAGCGTGTAGGTTAATACAACGTGTAGAAAATCTAATGTGTGATATTACAGCATGTGGTAATGCAACGCATAACAAATTCAACGAGTGGCAAACCTAATTCGCGGCAATATAACGCGAGACAACACAATTCATGGCGATATAACGCGTGGCAACACAGCGCATATAAAACTTGACGTGTAGTGATACAACGCGTTGTAAATTTGACTCGCAGCACATCTCACGTGTGGAAATACAACGCGTGGCGATATAACGCGATGCAATATATCGCGTGGTATATTTTATGTATATCGAATTCAATTTGTAGCGATACAGCACGTAGCAAATATGAATCTTGATCATTCTAAGATTTGGCGATATAACGCGTGGCAATATAACGAATGGCAATATATCATGTGGCATATTTGATGCAAATAAAATTCAATGTATAGCGACACAGCACGTAGTAAATATGAATCTTGATAATTCTAGGATTTGGCAATATAGCGCGTGGCAATATAACGAGTGGCAATATATCATGTAGCATATTCGATGCAAGTAAAATTCAATGTATAGCGACACAGCACGTAGTAAATATGAATCTTGATAATTCTAGGATTTGGCAATATAGCGCGTGGCAATATAACGAGTGGCAATATATCATATGGCATATTTGATGCAAATAAAATTCAATGTATAGCGACACAGCACGTAGTAAATATGAATCTTGATAATTTTAAGATTTGGCGATATAACAAATGGCAATATATCATGTAGCAAATCAAATCCAATTTGCAGTGATACAGCACGTAGCAAATATCAATCTTGATAGTTCTAAAATTTGGCGATTTAACGCGTGACAATTTAATATATGGCAATATAAAGCATGGCTATATAACTCATAGAAATACACTTGACGATCATACCATAATTTAACGTGTTGCCATATAATGGCGGTATACCAACTGCAACACCTAAAACTCAAACTTTCGAACAACGCAATATAACACGAAAATATAATTATTATACCTCGTACCGCACTTTTAGAAATTCACTTAATTAGAATTTAATTTCTATCGTTACTTTAGTTCATCGTCGCAGATACGGAGCTAATTAAACGATAAAATCTTTCGCGCTGGGGAACGCGTATAATTGCTCTCTAAACGTCTCCAATTTCGTAATAATTTGTTTCCCCGAAGTTATCTTTAAATCTGTCACGTGAAAAACTTTCAGGCGATCACGTCGACGAGATTACTTGATTAAATGTACACCGAAATGCGTCCAGCGATCACACGGCATCCCGCTTTTTCGATGCATTTCAGACGCATGCCGAATTTTAAAACGTGTCGAACTTAATGAGTTTCGTTGCACGCTTTTTTACCGCCATTATCCCGAATCAATTAATCACTCAGCGAATTTGATTACTTCACGTTTCATTTGATATGATGGTTGAAATATGGTTTTAAAGCACTCGGTTTCATGGATCACGGAATCCCTTATTACTCCATTTTTATTAAACGGAAGTTATATTAATATATGAGAGAATGACAGAAGTAAAAATAAGTAAAATTGATGAATCTTTAATTTTTAAACGAAAGAAAATATCCATTTATTCATTCAAATATTTCAAAGGATGAGACTAACCAAGTACATTTTCTTTCAAAGATGAATACTATGAAAATTCATCGTGCATGTTTAATGATGCACTTCAACGCCCGTGCCAGCAACAGCAATCACCAAAGTAATTACCCGATTTTCCCGGCGGTTCGATAATCCCACATTTCTCACAGCCCCTGAAAGTTACGAACCAGCCCGAAGTCGATACTTGGTCAATGGCTGACCCCTGTCATCCCGAGTCACAGTGGCATTCCTAAAACTCAACGGACCGAATCTTTCCCGATAACAGGATCCATCCTATTCCCCACGAGCATTCTCAGACAACGATTCGTTCTTCTTATCAAACTCGACATGAGTTACTATTTTCTGGGCGCGGACAGTGATTCGATATGAATTACTGATCCTCATGCGTGAGGATAATAGTATTCCGTGTGACCGAGGAATCTGATATAAATTTCTATTACGTGCGAGTGGAGAATATATAATTCGATATGAAATGATTCGTATGCGTGAGGATAATAACGAGGTATAAATTACTGGTTTTTGTGGGGGAGGATAATGTGAACCCTCGTGGGGAGATACAGCCTGTCTACACGTGAACTATGATTGCCTATGCGTGGATATAGTCAATGATGTGAATTAGTGTTTGCTATGTGTGGGAATATCAAGAATATTAAAATTCTGGGAGGAATACTAGAGATTAGGTCTTAAGGATGAGGACAGTAAGGTCTGGGATAGGGATCTTGAGGATAATAGTACAATGGGACCTACAGTAGGTTCATATGGATTGTAGGTCTTGACACTAGGATCTATGATCATAAGAATGGAGCCTACAACATTGATACACAGATACATACATCATATGGACAATGCTAGTCTGTAGGTGCTAAGGATGCAGTAGGACCTATGATCATATACAAGGTTTTGGAACATAGGTGCTTATGGACAATACTGAGTCGTGGGTCCTAAGGATACACTAGGATCTATGATCATAAGAATGGAGCCTACAACATAGATACATAGATACATACATCATAAGGAGAATGCTAGTCTGTAGGTGCTAAGGATGCAGTAGGACCTATGATCATATACAAGGTTTTGGAACATAGGTGCTTATGGACAATACTGAGTCGTGGGTCCTAAGGATACACTAGGATCTATGATCATAAGAATGGAGCCTACAACATTGATACACAGATACATACATCATATGGACAATGCTAGTCTGTAGGTGCTAAGGATGCAGTAGGACCTATGATCATATGCAAGATTTCTGGAACATAGGTGCTTATGGATAATACTAAGTCGTGGGTCCTAAGGACACACTAGGATCTATGATCATGAGAATGGAGCCTACAACATTGATACACAGATACATACATCATAAGGACAATGCTAGTCTGTAGGTGCTAAGGATGCAGTAGGACCTATGATCATATACAAGGTTTCCGGAACATAGGTGCTTATGGACAATACTAAGTCGTGGGTCCTAAGGATACACTAGGATCTATGATCATGAGAATGGAGCCTACAACATAGATACATAGAAACATACATCATAAGGACAATGCTAGATCTTAGGTCCTAAGAATGCAGTAGGACCTATGATCATAAGAACAGGTTTCGGAGTATATGTACATATGTGGTGCATATCTCAGCGCAGAAGCGGTCAGCCGTAGTTTATCCTTCACGTTAACAAAATATTTCAATGTCACTGAAATATATGACCTTCATCAACCGAATCTACGAGCGATATTTCAAAGTAATGAAATAAGATTACGTCCTCAATCGTCATACACCGTTCGATTATCCCAGATAGAAGCTCAATCGAGCGCACAATCGATCATCCATCGGTAAATTTCATCGACAGATCGGCAGTCGATCTCGGGGAGTAATGAACGAAAAAATTGAGCCGTCAATGAGGGAAATCTCGAGCCAGCAAGGATTTTCATTAATATTTCAACGGTCGGACGTTTTCTGAATAACCGATAGCCAGCTTTTGATTAATTCTGACGGAATGAGTTATTATGTTCCGACACGTGAATGTTTAAATCAGATCGGCGTGTCAATGGGGCTATTTTCGCGATAAGCGGCTTAATATCGCGACCGGCCGAGAAACTTTGCCAAGTCCGCAATTTTTTGCCAACCTTTATCTCCGTTTTCCACGACGTTTTCGCCGGCCGAAGTGGGTCAAGTCAGCACCTCTTTCAGCCAATTCTTTCACGACCCGAGAATTCATATCAGCCGGGCTACAGTGGCTCGGACTGTTTGTTGTTTATCGATACTGTCATCCTGTTTCGAGATCCTACTCGACGATGAATCGGTTTTGCGAGAATTGCGAAAAACCCTCTCGATATTACTGCCTCGTAAATTCCGAACAACCTGCTGAACTGAACACTGTCTTACAGAGACGCTATCGATTGCCTGCAAATGAAATTAATTCACTCACGTAATTACGAGTGTAACGTACTTAAACTGTTGACGACGATTTACTCTTATTTTAATTAACGCTAGGTATTCTTTCGAATTGAAAATATATATCTCACCAAAATTTATACCACCAAAGTGAGTCCATCGGTCACCTGTTCCCATAACTGATAACCCAACAGTTAACCCAACTCCTTTTTCTCTAACATCCCATAGATTTTCAGCGGTGAAACGATCAATCAGATGGCCACTGATTCGTCCAACCGTGAGAACGAAGAATTATGGGTATCCAGTGTTCCAGAACGCGTTCAAAATCTTTCTGGACAATAGAATCCTTCCAGGAACAGTTCACTTCTTATTTTCTCTTATTTATTTCACATCCTTGCTCTTGGTATCACTATATGAAACATCTTGTGAACTCGAGATACTACTTCTTACGATTCTGTGTTCTGGTATTGTTTTTAGGACCTATGTTATGAAATTCATAGTATAGTTCTTAGAACATATGTTGCAGGTTATGTTTTGGTGTGGATGACGTATGGTGGGATAGGATCTATTGTTCTGGGTCATATAGTATATTAGGACCTATAGATTTAAGTTATGTCTTAGTATTGATCTGAGGACCTATATACTAGGATCCTTCAGAGGATTTTCCTTAGAAATTATAGTATTAAAGCCAAAGTTAGTATTATTCTTGGAACCTATAATTCTAAATCACATCTTGGTATTGTCCTTAGGATCAATAGTTCTGGATGATATTCTAGTATTGTCCTTAGGACTTACAGCTCCAGTTGACATCTTGATATTGTCCTTAGGACCTATGTTACTACGACCCATCCTAGTATTGTTCTTAGGACCTGTAGTTCTAGATCACATCTCAATATTGTCCTTAGAACCTATAGTTCCAGGTGACATCCTAGTATTGTCCTTAGAACTTATAGTTCCAAGTGTCATCCTAATATTGTCCTTAGGACATACAGCTCTAGTTGACATCTTGATATTGTCCTTGGGACCTATATTACTAAAAACCATCCTAGTATTGTTCTTAGGACCTATAGTTCTAGATCACATCTCAATATTGTCCTTAGGACCAATAGTTCTGGATGATATCCTAGCATTGTCCTTAAGACTGATAGTTCCAGGTGACAGCCTAGTATTGTCCTTAGGACTTACAGCTCCAGTTGACATCTCGATATTATCCTTAGGACCTATATTACTAAGACCCATCCTGGTATTGTTCTTAGGACCTATAGTTCTAGATCACATCTCAATATTGTCCTTAGAACCTATAGTTCCAGGTGACATCCTAGTATTGTCCTTAGAACTTATAGTTCCAAGTGTCATCCTAATATTGTCCTTAGGACATACAGCTCTAGTTGACATCTTGATATTATCCTTAGGACCTATATTACTAAGATCCATCCTAGTATTGTTCTTAGGACCTATAGTTCTAGATCACATCTCAATATTGTCCTTAGGACCAATAGTTCTGGATGATATCCTAGCATTGTCCTTAAGACTGATAGTTCCAGGTGACAGCCTAGTATTGTCCTTAGGACTTACAGCTCCAGTTGACATCTTGATATTGTCCTTAGGACCTATATTACTACGACCCATCCTAGTATTGTTCTTAGGACCTGTAGTTCTAGATCACATCTCAATATTGTCCTTAGGACCTATAGTTCCAGGTGACATCCTAGTATTGTCCTTAGGATTTATAGTTCCAGGTGACAGTCTAGTATTGTCCTTAGGACTTACAGCTCCAGTTGACATCTTGATATTGTCTTAGGACCTATATTACTAAGACCCATCCTGGTATTGTTCTTAGGACCTATAGTTCTAGATCACATCTCAATATTGTCCTTAGAACCTATAGTTTCAAGTGTCATCCTAGTATTGTCCTTAGAACTTATAGTTCCAGGTGACAGCCTAGTATTGTCCTTAGGACTTACAGCTCCAGTTGACATCTTGATATTGTCCTTAGGACCTACATCACTAAGATTACTACAAGATTGACTCAGTTACTCCATCTCTACAATCCGTAGAATGAAACGAAAGAAAAAGGTACATTTTTCCGCAGTGCGCCCCAGCGAAGATTTACAGAAAGAATGGGCGATTACTTCGTTAAACAGGATTACGTTCGGCTGCAATATTATAGCGCGGAACGTGATAATACAAAATTCGAGAGGCCATCAGAACGTATCCCGGCATTTTAACACCTTCAGCTTATGCCGTAAGCCGTCGCTACTTTTCCGGTATTACCCCAGGGTTTAATTCATAACCCGCGCATTCGTTGCGCAAACTGCACCGCCGAGATTCGCCACCCTCCGGCTTCCTTATGCAAATTATGTTTTCGCGCGTTCGCAATTCCGAATCACCGACAGACGATCTATCATGCAGTTTGTTACAATTTATTTAACATAACCGCCGTTTGCGACAAACGACGCTCCTACCGAGAAAATTATCTCGAGCCGACTCGTGACTGCGGAATACTCCTCCTCTCTTACGAAGCGATTTTCGCTTCGACGACTCGAAGTATTCGCGCAATTTGCCTCTCTGTTCGGATGAGTTGAAACAAGTTAGAAATTTTTAAAATGCAAGTAAAATGCACTTTCAGAGATTAGCAAGTTTTTTAGGTTATGAAAGAACCTTTTATTTAGTTAACCGCTGCAGCCAATGTAAAAGTTCGCATAGAGTTTAATACTAATGGGGATTAAAGATAAACTTTATTCGTAACAGTTTCATTATGCAATCAGCTTCGAAATACCTTCGCAATCGCATCGTAATGAACTCTGGAAGTAATTAAACTTGCACGACTAATACGCTGCTGTCTAACTTTCAATAACTCTTAATAACTCACCGCTGGATATTTACAACCCTAATTTCTAACTCCCACGTTTTGATCCCTTAATTTCAATTCTACGATCTGCATACAAACTTTCCACTACAAATTGTACAACCTTGAATATTTTTTTCAAATTTAAACTTCTTGTTTCATTCAAAAAAATGCAACAAAGAATTTGTTAAAATTATTCAATGTCATAAAACAAATGGACGACATAAAAAAAAATATTTTATAATACCTCGATATTCTGTGAATAAATAAAAAAAAGATGTAGTTAAATCGGATAAGTAGTTTCCGAGAAAAAAATTCGTAAGTGAAACCTGTTTTCATCAAAGTTTCAATAATTATTGAAATTCAATCACAAAATAAAATTAAAATTAAATTCAATTAGCATAACCTTGTCAGCGTGTAAAAATAAAGCATTCAATATTAAACATCGTGTCTCCTTCGAGTGTCCATAAATATGCCGATATTAATTCAATTCGATATTTAGCCGTTAATTGGAGAATCGAGCCTTTGCGATTCACTGATTTCACCTATTTATTATCAGGCACTACAATGTCTAAAAGTTTGCACTCGACAAAGTATGCTTAAACAGAATTAGCAATTCTCGATACGAGTGAAGTGCCTTCTTTCATTTAAATATCAGTAGGTAACCCAGATTTCAAGTATTCTGTCTAGCGATATAAATGGACAAATAAAAATGTATCGGTGGAACAAGTACAGAATGAAGTGGACAAATATGGGACATCATTTTGTTTTCTATTCACTTAAAAATGGGAGTTTTGTATTTTCAATTTCGTGTTTTATCATTTTTTTCCCTGTATGGACGCCATTTTGTTTTCTATTCCTTTCAAAATGGCAGTCTTTCATTCTGAGTTTCATATTTAACCGCTTTTGGTACTTTTTTAACGTTTATTTTTATTTTATAATATGGTAGAGAAGTATGGACGCCATTTTGTTTTCTATATCTTGCAAAATGGCAACCTTTCATACTGCATCTTCATATTTAATCACTTTTGGTACTTCTTTTACATTTATTTTCATCTTATAGTAATTTAGACAAGTATGGACGCCATTTTGTTTTCTATATCTCCCAAAATGGCAACCTTTCATACTGCATCTTAATATTTAATCACTTTTGGTACTTCTTTTACATTTATTTTCATCTTATAGTAAGTTAGACAAGTATGGACGCCATTTTGTTTTCTATATCTCCCAAAATGGCAACCTATCATACTGCATCTTCATATTTAATCGCTTTTGGTACTCCTTTTACATTTATTTTCATCTTATAGCAAGTTAGACAAGTATGGACGCCATTTTGTTTTCTATATCTCCCAAAATGGCAATCTTTCATACTACATCTTCATATTTAATCGCTTTTGGTACTTCTTTTACATTTATTTTCATCTTATAGTAAGTTAGAGAACTATGGACGCCATTTTGTTTTCTATATCTCCCAAAATGGCAACCCTTCATCTTCAATTTCATATTTAAACACTTCTTGTACTTCCTTAATACTCATTTTCATTTATCTATGCTTCTTATATGAATTTTTAACGATGATACAAATGCGTGATAAGATAGACACGTATCGACGCCATTTTGTTTTCTATTTCTTTCAAAATGGCAACCTTTCACTGCATCGTCATATTTAATCACATTTTGTACTTCTTCAATATTCATTTTCACCTTTAAGAATTTTTATCAACAAAACCAATATCGAATGAAGTTAGACAAATATGTCCACCATTTTGTTTGTCATTTGTTGTCAAAATGGCGCCCTTTCATAGAAAGTCCTCGTATTTAATCACTTTTTGTACTTCTTCAACATCTTCACCTTATTCATCTTCTATAAATTTTTATCAACGAAACGAATAAATGTAAAAAGTTAAACAAATATGTCCACCATTTTGTTTGTCATTTGTTTTCAAAATGGCGCCCTTTCATAGAAAGTCCTCGTATTTAATCACTTTTTGTACTTCTTCAACATCTTCACCTTATTCATCTTCTATAAATTTTTATCAACGAAACGAATAAATGCAAAAAGTTAAACAAGTATGTCTATCATTTTGTTTACCATTTCTTTCAAAATGGCGCCCTCCTACACCCTCCCATCTAAATAATAACTGAACCAAAAGTGACTAAAACCCCTTTTCTATTTCTCCAACATTCACCACCTTATTTATCTTCCCGTTGTATCGTATTTATAAAGGTTTTTCCACGGTGTATTTTGAAAAATCAAAGTGATCGCCTTCAAAGTGGATCCCTCGGGAAACGATACGCCGATGAAGACGTTTTTCTCGTTCCTTAAAGCAACACCGAGACTCTTCATCCTTTAAAGTGTTTACTTGGCCGACCACGGCGTTCTTTAACACGGTTTTTAATCTTGAGAAATAAGAAGTCACGAGATCTGGGAATAGGGACGCTATTTCTTTTACGATTAAACATTCGTTGACGGACGCTGCAATATGAGCGAATGCATTCCATTTTCGTGTCGCGTTCAGGATAATGTTACTCGTGTGGTAATTATTCTGCAACTTAAGATAGGTTTAATTCATGTGGATTCAAATATTCTCGAAATGAGATACGAACAGTGAAATGTTATATTTTGACGCCTTAACAAATTCTCTTTTATGTCTGATGTATGAAGAATTTTTAGTGGTGAGACTTTATGACTTTCGTTTTTAATTCATTTATATTAATTTCTATTTTTTATTTTGATGGTTCACAGTTTAAGTGGTTTCAATCTTTGCATGCTATTTTTATAATAATTTTTCGATTGTTTTACTGTCTCTAAGAGAGCCAAATGGACCACGTGACCCGAGTAGCGTCGAAGAGAAACGAAGTGGACCACGTGACCCGAGTAGCGACGAAGAGAAACGAAGTTATCCGAAGTGCCACTACTCTCGTCGCCCTTAAGACTTCAGTGATTTTATACTCAAACCTAATTTCCAAATCACTGAATAAGTTTGAAATAATTATTTCTACCAACTTTAAGTTACATACAAACATTCAAAAAATCCTAAACTTGCAGATCCAAAAATTATTAAAAAATGCATAATCTTCTCCCCACAGTGACATTAGTCAGAGCTTCATCCACATTTCTCAGCACATTTTCCCTAAGCTATCACTTCACAACCAAAGAAATAATTTCTCCGAATACCAGCGAGCAGGAACGAAGTTACCCGACTTACTCGTCGCTGTCTCGTCTCGCAAGAGCGTGCACCGTAACGGCTTCACGCATCATATGTGCGGCCGATCTGCGGAAGGAATTTGATACATCGCCGCTGCGGCTACTTCGAAACCGCCATATTTTTATTGCCACCCGAGTGTTCGGTTACTCGGATGGCTCCGAGCTGTTTCCTTCGCGAGAAACGGCCTTTCTATCCGTGAGAGACTCTCGAATCGAGATCGGGAATTTTTTTCGTGGAACCGGCTGTTGGCACGACATCCTGACGGAATTGTCCGAATTCCAGTGGCGGAAACTCCCGATCGTGTGACGGACGTTTGTAAGACTGCGGTTGCGGATTGATAGAATTAGATCGTGTGGTTTGGTCTAGACGAATGTTATACGATTGTTGGAGTAATTAAGGCAGACGTAGGAAGGCAAGGATGATATTTTAATGATGCGTAAATTCTTTAAGGAACTAATTCAAGTTGAAATCTTCTAAACTGGTACTTAATAAAAATGGTGGTTACGGTCTATTTTGTAATTTGCAAGGAGATGGTTGAATGTGTACCAGGTGTATTGATTGATGTCTCGAGAGATTGATACCTCGATCAATTGATGGCGATGATCAAACATAATGGCGTTTTGAAAGGTATTGTTATAGCAACAAAATAACATGGGTTTAAACTATGAATACGCGTCTAGTGCAAGGTTAGTTACACGTTGTCTTCGTGTAATCTTGCTACCCTCTGACATATCATTTGTGCGG